TGTGTCTGCAGAAATGAGGAGCATGTAATTGCATGTAGACGCATGGACGCCTCGTGTAGCCCCGTGTACCTCCATTCAATGGCTGTTTGTCCAGCCCTTATCCCAAATGGACGCCTGAATAAGACGTGAATACAAGCGCCAACCGTTCGAGTTTCCTTACAAGTGACTCGTCTGTACATACCCTACTTTCACAGGCAATGAGTAAATCACACTTTTCATTCCTCAATCCCGGCCGACACTGTACAATTGTCTTAGCCACGCACTTGCATTTAATCCTGATGCATGTTTCTCTTCTTACCCCTTATTCGATTCACTTGCAAGAAGTGATGCCAAGTCGCAACAAACTGAAAAGGCTTGGAAGTCTATGTGGAATGGTATTTTCGAGGCAGTAATTACTGAATTTAAAGAAAATTACAAAATATTATCAAACTTGTCTGTTGCCTATCGGTTTCCCGGGGGATGGATAGGGGCCAAGTTACAGACTTCTGAACCTCTTCATCAAAAGCGTCTAGGGTAACTCATGCTCTGAGCACCTAGAGAACTTGTAGAATATAGCTAATAATATTAAGTAATAATCAAAGTAGGTTAGGGGGTATAGGAATGCAAGAATTTAAAATGATAAATAAGGGTTGAGTGAAAATTGTCAACAAAGGCTTAGTCTCTGAGCCACCAAGTTGCATATACATGCATTGTACCAAGTCAATTTCGCAGTTTGTTCACCTGACGTTATTCGGTTGGTGCGTCTGGGATACTCGAGGCACCGGTTTTGCATGCTCATTTCACCTCCGTCAAAGTTGGCTCAACAAAATTTGCAATAAGTGAAGGATGACTATCAATTTAATATACGAAAATTAACTGGGTTTCGATGCATCTCCTGAGCATGAAAGTGCATGAAGTAGAGATTCGTAGGTTGATCTGACCAGAAGACGACGACTGAATCCAGTTGTACCGCAGCCGTTTGGCTTTAATACACCGTTCAGGTTGACACAGTCTATGAGATATCCTCAATCAAGTCGAGTGAAAACGGACTGTCCATCATATGATGCACATCATCGAGCTGGAGCTCATTCTTGTAAAAGTCTCATGTTAAAACAAGGTATAGAAGACTATCTGGCTTTATATATATACTCTTATATATACTCATAACTGAAAACGAAAACGAATAATCATATATAGATGTAGGATGGCTTGTGCTAATTATCTTTCATACTGGTCCTGCTGCTTCTGCTCGAGTGTATGTGTGTATGTGTGTTAATATCTTTAAACAATACCTGTCCTAAATAAGTGATCAAAAAAGGCCAATGTCAGGCTCTGGTCATCATCATCATCCTCATCAATTGTTAATAATATCTCGTTACTGAGGCATACATTTTCAGACGGAGACTATTTAGTCAAAGATAGACAAGAGGAGACTTTTTCCCACGTAATAGTTTGCCGTCATGCCTTCATTAGAAAAAGATAGGCGAATTAGTGACAAAGTCGGGGATTAAAACAGTGCTCATAGAAACCCTCATACTTTCTTCGGATAAGCCATCTTTTAGGGAGGAATACGACCGGGCTGCTACAAGATTGTATGCTCCCGTGGCAGACCTTATGTTGGGGAGACATGCCGAGCTACTCGACACAGATTAGGGGAACATGAAAATGTTTGTACGGGTCCAACTGACAAAGGGGGCCGAACACATTGCAGAGATTGAACATGACGTAGAATGGTCTCAAACGAGTAGGTTTGCTGATTTTGTTATGTCTATTGCTAAAATTAAAATAAGAGACGCTATTAAAATTTATAGATTAGCGAATACGTTGAATGGGAGGAACGTTGGTAGAAAGTTGAGTAAGACCTACTTATGCTTGATTGGTGATGGAAGGAGAGAGGGTGTTGAGTCGCCATCCAAAAGAAGTCGACTCAACTTGCCGTCTCAGTGATAGTTACAGCATCACCCACACTCGTCAACCATGTTAGATTAAGCTGAGCAACCAAACTAGACGTACGAGATCATGCAACCCGTTATGACTTCGCTTGGGCGGTTAAACCTTAATTACCCTAGACTGAGAGGTTAGAACAGATGGTTTCGTAACCTAATTTAAATGTTAGAGGGACCTTCATTTCGTATGAAAGTGCATGAAGAAGAGATTCGTTGGTCGATCTCACCAGAT